TGGAAATTTGGAAAAACCCAGACACTGATATCTTATGATTGAGTGCATTGTTTTCCAAGAAAATAATGAGTAGCACAATGGCATGTTTGTTTGTTTGTTTGCTTCTAAACAATACCAAACAGTATCCATATTAACAATTCACTATTTTTCAGAATACCCATCTTTTATTTATATATCTCTTTTTCTTAAAATACAATGCATGTTTAAGTCTTACATTAGGAGTAAATCAACTTCAGGTAAAATGGTCCCTGTTATTGACGGCTTTCTTTCAACCTGTGCAGAATTCCAGCAGGAAAATTGTAACATTAATTGATCCATTAACAGTCTTTGAAACGATGAAAAAAATCTAATTTGGTTAAAACTAAATAAGCTTAAAGTAGATCTGTGATATTTCTGCAGCACAGGAATTTTAAGTTATTGCAAGAACAAAGGTAGGTAGGACTATTCTTAGAGTAGATCAAAGCCTGATTTCTCATGACATAAATCTGAGCTGCAATGTAAGTTCTCAATGGTCTGTTACTGCTTTTAGATGCACTTCACATCCTTCCTCTTGCTACAATAGGTCAGAACATAAATATGTCCTTTGGATTGCTGATATTTTATTATCAAAAACTTAAAAATTCATTTAAGATATTTCATTCTGTCAAAATAAACATATATGTTCTGTCAAAACTGTTATTTTTCCTTTGTTAGGTATTTTACTTAATTCAATAGCCAATGTGAAATAATTTTACAAAGTGAGCCAATTTCTTCAGGTACCTGTAAAAACATTTTGCAGTTAAATTCTCCTGGCAGGAACACTAAGCACTTCAAAGACAGATAGTCGTTGGGATGTGTTTTATAAGGCTGAGGAAACTGGCTTGATTTGAAGAAAAAAAAAATTCCAGGTCAAATCATCCTTTCAAAGTTTTATGTTATAAAACTCTAGGGCGTCTGAATCAAAGATTACTCATTCTTGTGTGAACATGATGATGCTTCTTGAGAAAAATCTTGTTTTTAAGCTTTTATAAAACTGTTTCTATGGAATCTAAGTGTTCCAATGAATGTTAATAAGAGTTTCTCAGAAAGAGTTCACTGGGCTTACAGGTAACTCCCCCAGCCAGGTATTTGGGGTCAAGGCCACCAATTCGGCTTTCTAACTCTTGTAATGCATGTCCAACTGTTTGTTTGGCCACCAAACACTTGTCCTGAAACAGAAACACGGGGTACTGAGGACATATCACCCCTAAAGCTAGAGAATTACTTTGGCTCTGAATCATCATAACCCCAGTCATGGTCCTTAGTATCTATCCACTCCTCACATATGCCAAGTTGTGTCTTTATATCCAGCTAGGTCTCTGAAAAGCCACATTCTTGAAATTAATTATCTCCATCTTCAGCATTATCATTCTTGATTTTATAGTTATTTTCTCAAGTTTTAGAGGACTTTTATAAAATTAAGATATTTGAAAATTACTCTTACATTTTAGGAAGTTTCATCAATGACAATTATAATGCTGAATGGCCCCGGTGTAGGGAACCAAATAGCAATGTTTTGCTAGAATTTAGCATGAAGAAACAATATATTTTTTCAAAAATTGCAGTACACTTTTTGTTCATTTATTTATCAAAGAAATATTTGCTGATTACTATGGGGGCCAGACACTGTGCTGGATGCTAGGTACTCAGTAGTGCTCCCAGAAAGCTCACTGTTAGCCAGCAAGACAGACCAAGGTTATGAGAGCACTGAGGTCTACTCTTTGGGAGACTTGGGAAGAGGTCTCCATAGGAAGAGATGACATTTGACATGGTGCTCAAACATGAATAAACATTTGTAGGCAGAAGAACAGGAAAAGGTCTTAGGGGCAGAGATAAGTTTTGCAAAAGTGCAGGTGTGAAAGGTAAGCAGAAAAGGCATGTGAGGGTAAGAAAGAGAAATTTGAGAGTTGAGAATGGACAGCTTTCACTGGGTAGGTCATAAGGGACTTGAGATACTGAGCTAAAGAATATCACTTTCACTCTTGGACCAAGAAGATTTCACAGTGTTTTTAAAGCAGGCAAAGGACACTCAGTACTGCCTTTGCTGCAACCCATAGATTTTGATATGTTTTATTTTCATTTTCATTTGTCTTTAGGTATTTTTGATTTCTCCTTTGATTTCTTTGTTGACCCCATAGTTGTTCAGTAGCATGTGGTTTAGTCCCCACATATTTTTGATTTTTCCAGCTTTCTCCTTGGAGTTGACTTCTACTTCTATACCACTGTGATTTTAAAAGATATTATAATTTCAAACTTTGTAAATTTCTTGAGACTTGTTTTGTATCCCAACATATAGTCTATCCTTGAGAATATTCCATGGGCATTTGAGGAGAATGTGTATTCTGTTGCATTTGGATGGAACGTTCTGTACTGATCTATCAAATCCATCCGGTCTAACATTTCATTTAAGGCCACTGTTGCCTTGTTTGCTTTCTGGATGATCTATCCACGGATGTAAGTGGATAGATGAATCCCCTACTATTATTGTGTTGTCATTTTCTTCCTTTAGGTCTGTTAATAATTGTTTTAGATATTTTGGTGCTCCTATGTTAGGTGCATATTTATTAACAAATGTTATGTTTTCTTGATAGATTGTCCCTTTTATCATATGTCCATCTTTCTCTTGTTACTGCTTTTGACTTGAAGTCTATTTTGTCTGACATGAGTATGGTTCCATGTGTTTTTGTGCGGCTGCCAGTTGCTTGGAGTATCATTTTCCATCCCTTCACCTGGAGTCTATGTTTGTCTTTAGGGCTGAGATGAGTCTCTGGAAGGCAGCATACAGTCAGTCTTGTGTTTTTAATCCATCCAGCCACTCTGTATCTCTTGATTGGTGAATTCACTCCATTTATATTTAGGGTGATTACTGATAGATGAGAACTTAATACTGGCATTCAATCTTCTATTTTCTTGTTGCTCTATATCTCCAATGTTTCTTATTCCTTGTGCTTCTGTCTGCCACATGGGTTGGTGTTTATTATGATGTTTTCTCAGTTGCTTTTTTATGTTTTGCGTATCTACTCTAGATTTATGTTTTGTGGTTACCATGAGGTTTGTATTAAAAAAGCACATAGATAAAATGATCCATTTTCTGCTGATAGCATCTTACCTTCATTTGCCTGTATGGGCTCCCTACTTTTCCTCTTCCTTTTTTTATGTTTTTTTTTTTTTTTGTCTCAAATTACCTTTTTTTTTTTTTTTTTTTGCGGTACACGGGCCTCTCACTGCTGTGGCCTCCCCCGTTGCGGAGCACAGGCTCCGGACGCGCAGGCTCAGCGGCCATGGCTCACGGGCCCAGCCGCTCCGCGGCATGTGGGATCTTCCCGGACCGGGGCACGAACCCACGTCCCCTGCATCGGCAGGCGGACTCTCAACCACTGCGCCACCAGGGAAGCCCGCAAATTACCTTTTTTTAATGTTGTAAGTTCATTACCAAATTGAAGTACTACAATTAATCTTACTGCTCTTTTCCCCTTCAATCTTTATCTTATAATTAAATGTTTAACAATCTATTCTGATATAGAGTTGCAATTTTCTCATTCTGAATGTCTATTTATCAGCTTACTCAAAGTTTTTTGTATTTTTTCCTTTCATTTCAGGTAGAAGAGCTCCTTTCAACATTTCTTGTAAAGCAGGTCTAGTGGTAATGCACTCTTTCAGCTTTTCTTTGTCCTAGATCTTTATTTTTCCTTCATATCTGAAGGATAACTTTGCTGAAGAGTATTCTTGGATGATAATTTTTGTCTTTCAATATTTTGAGAATGTCATTCCATTCTCTCCTGGCCTGTAGGGTTTCTGCTGAGAAGTATGTTGATTGTCTGATATGGGGGTCCTTTGTAGGTTACTGGCTGCTTTTAAAATTCTTTATCATAGACTTAGGACAGCTTTAATACAGTGTGTCTTGAAAAATATCTTTTTGTGTTGAGGTAATTAAGAGTTCTTTTAGCTTCACGGAGCTAGCTTGTATATCTAGTTCCTTCCTAGGTTTGGGAAGTTCTCAGCTATTATTTCTTTAAATAAATCTTTGCTTCCTTCTCCCTCTCTTTTTTCTTCTGGGATACCCATTACCCTAAGGTTGCCTTTCCTAATAGAGTTGGGTGGTTCTCAAATATTTTTTTTTTCATTTTAACAAAGAATCTTGGTTCTCTTTCCTTTTCTCCCTGTATCATTTCTAGATTTCTATCTTCAAACTCATTAATTCTCTCTTCCATATGGTCTGCTCTATTGCCAATGTTTTCTAATTCATTTTTTGTCTTGTTTTTTGAATTCTTCAGCTTCAGAATTTCTGTTTGGTTCTTTTTTAGAGTTTTACTCTCTTTGGTAGAGTATTCCATCTGCTCATTAATTTTATACCTGAGCTCATTAAACTGTCTTTCTGAGCTTTCTTGTAGCTCACTGAGTTTCTTCATGACAGCTATTTTGAATTTTCTATCAGATCACATTCTTCTGTGACTTTAATTTTGGCTTCTGGAGAATTGTCATTTTCTTCTTGTGTTATCATGCTTTTTGTGTGATGCTTATTTAGTTGCTCCTCTTCTTGTACATCTGAAGTAGTGAACACCTTTCTTTTAGGTAATGCTTTTTAAACTTTAATTTAAGCAGTTCCGCAGGTTGGTAATGAGAGGCCTTTCTTTTGTGTATGAGTAGGTGGCACTGTAGCACACTTTTTCAGTTTCTCTTCCCTGCACTTCCTCTGGTTTATTTGAGAAGCAGCACAGTCCACCCTTGGTTGCCTCTGCCTGAGGTGTGTCTGGTGCCCTCATCATCACTGCTTGTGCCTCCAGGGTTCCTGGTGTCTTGCTTCTCCTGGTGACACTGTTGTCTTCAGCATTATCCCTGGGTGCGCTGGAATAACACAGACCTCCATTGTGTTCAGAATCTCCTTCTCCGGCACCACCACCACAATGGGGGTCCAAAGTCACAGGTGCCACCCCGGCGAGAGGGACCAGGGTCATGGTCTTGCTGCTGCTGTCCAGGTCCCCATGGCCTTGGGCGCTGGGTCCCAGAGGCCAGAGTCACGTGTGCCTCTTACTTCTGATAGCAAGCCTTTGGGGTTTGGGGATCCAGCGCTGCAGCCAGAGGGCCAGGATCGAGGCCCAGTGGGCACCACCTTTTCTGCTTTCCAGCCCACTCACCTTCAGATGCACAGATGTGTGGCCTCCTCAGCACCATGGTGTGTTGGGCAGAGTTATTTCCATTCTACTGGTTGTAGATGGAAAAGGAGAGACAAGGGGAGTGTCTTCTGTCACCGTGAAGCTAACCTCTATTTTTAAGATGTTTTAAAATAAAGTGGGCAATGTCCTGATAACTTTAACAATTTTATTTCATTACTGAATTGGTCTCATTTAGGACAACAAGTGGGGATTTGCCACTTTTTAAAAATTATTTCTCCTCATTCCCAAAGTATTTATGAGACTGAAATCTAACAGGGAAGATATGGCTTTGGTGACAGGATCTTGTATATATTTAAAGTCACAGGATCAAACGTTAGCTTCCTAAAGCCACATGATTTCACAATACAGCCCTAAACACACATGATGTCACATCACAATTGATTTGAATTGGAAAGAGT